GTCGCGAAATTTCAAGAATATTATAAATGGTCAAATGTTTCTACATGATCTCCCTTGCTCTTATATCCTCCAATATCTCTCCTTATTTTCCCGCGTTATGATATGCACGTATATTTTGTCTATATAACACATCAAATATTCATTCATTCATTCNTTCGTTCTTCCTTNNTTTGGGGTTATACGTTTGGTTTATTTTTTGCGCTCCTTATTTCATGTTTTAATATTGCGTTATTATTGCTATGGCTTAATCATCCAACTTTGAGGTTCCAATAAACGGTCAAACGATTCCTACTGTCTACACACACACATATCAAAAAGGCAATTTATCTTCGCTACAAGGTTAATTTTTACCTTTTCTTTAATTTTTCGTATCCTTTTGTAAACTTGTGTTGATGGTATTGTTATCATGAATGTCACTGGACCATCCCATGATTCAAGCTGCAACATTTCAATAAGTCATTTCCTACAAAATGAATATTTTTTACTTTTTCAATTAAAATAAATAAGCAGTAAATTTAAGAAAGATTAATACAAAGATTAAAATAAAATTTAAGAAAAAACCAAGTATTATGAATTAATCATTTATTCAATTTTATTGTATTCACTAGTAGTCTTATCTGTATTGCTCAAAACTTCATTTCATATTACGTTCAAATATAATTTCCTAATTTTTATAAATAAAATTTCACAATAAATTAACCAATGAGTTATCTAAAAGCTGTGTGACATCTGGAATTAAAAAACATGAAAAAAAATATTTAAGGCAAAATTTTTGCAGTCATAATTAACATGTAAATTTTAAAATATAAACTTGAATAATTTGATATTGAAATAGATACCTGTTCTAAGATATTATCATTGAAATAATCGTAGCTAATGTGTAAAACTAGCGTAATCCTTTCAAATATATTCATATTACTTTCCATATCGCTGTGGCTTACATATGGCAGCACACAATAATTTTTGTATACATAAAATCTAAAGTTAATAAAAATAAACAGGATAGAAAATTATGTCATTTATTTTCCGTTATTTAATTAGGATGAAAAGCAAATTGATTAATGCAAGTATTCTAGTGAATTATTTACATCTTTCATTGATAAATTTTATAAAAGCAAAGAAAGTAATCCCTTCCTAACTATTTAATTCAAGGACTTCTCGGAATCATATAATTACAATCTATGAACAATTAATACAAATATAAATGTTAAATTATGTTCATAAAAATAATGATAACAATAATAACATCAAAGAAATATTTCATTTTTTCTTCTATTTGTTGTGTTCAGGATAAACAGGATAAAATAATTATCTCATTTATTTTCCGATGTTTAATTTCTTTCATGACATTTTCGCTATCATGAGAATTTCTTTTTATTGAAATATCATACTAACCGTAAAATATTATCATCATAATGCTGATTATACATTATCGTGGTACCATCCAATTTAGTTATGATGACAATTGTTGAAACAAATAGTAATATGGCAAAAATAAACGTCCCAAATGTTTTTTGCATTCTTCATTGAATAACTAAATATGAGAACACTTCTCGTATTTCTATCACAGTTGCATTTTCTTTCTGAAATATTGAACTTTGAATTAGCACTCAATTAATAAAATTCTAAACAATTATCAGCTTCATTGAAAGAATACAAATCAAGTGGAAATTGATGCATATTGTTAAGTTTAAATTACTTCAATTTTTATAATGCAAGAAAAAAGGGAACTTGTTAAAATAACATTTCATTAATGTTGCAAGGCAGGAAGTAAATAAGTATAACTTGTATATTTCATTAGAGAGAAATTTGATTTATTTTCGTCTTTATAATTCACGATTCATATTAGAAAACTGGAATACATTAACAAGAAAGGCATTTCATGTACAACAGAAAAAGAAAAAAAATTCATATTCCTTTTTGCTAAAAGCTTTTTATAGACTATTTAGAAATGTAATTTTAACTGTTAAAAAAGTCATTCTTAAAATGAAAAATAAGGAAATATGCATGAATAGTTTTATGCGATTTAGAAAAAATTTTTGATATCATTGGAATGCAAAATAAGGCTTGTTTCTGTGCTCAGTTTTCTGCAGAAAAAACTTGACTGAAAGTCCTGTATGACATTAATTAATTCTAAAATTCACTTGGTTATAACCATCACACTGCTAATATCGCTTGTATTGCAAAAATCAACAAAACTCTCTCTCATCTCTTTTGCAGTGTGTAATATTTGATGTCACTAAAGGAGTTTCTTTTCTGCTATCTTTAATCCTTATTTTTTCTTTGAAATGAAAAAATAAACTTTTATTATCTTATTAATTGTTTAGTGTTTGTTTTTAGCTACCTAATTATTTTTCTTTATAAAAAAAATATTGGAATAGTAGATTCAAATAATTACAGTATAAGAATATTAAAATTTATAACTTATAGAATAACACAATGAGTTTTATTATTGCTGTATGGGTGAATTTATAGACTTTTTATAATTTATATCGTTTATTATTCATAAATTTTTTCTTTTACAAATATAAAAGCTTAAATTGATAACTTTTGATATGAGGCAATCAAACTTGACATTTTCGGTTCAAGCAAAAGCATTCTTTCTGACGCATAACGGTAGGAATAATTTTTTGAAAAATTAAAAAATTTTTAATTCAGTTCTAGTTTCTAGTAATTCTTATTTTAGGAATAATAAAAAAAATTGTAAGTAAGTCTTGTTCAATATGCTAATATAATAAAATCTATGATCATAACATGTCAAAACCATTAAATACTATTCACAAATAATATATTTTTAACGATGTATAGTCTTTTTTACAATTTCTTGCATATAAATTTAATATAGTAAAATGAAGTTAAATTAATAATGAAATTATAATAATTTCTAGTCGCTTTATTTCAGGAAAATGAATGTTAATAAAAGCTTTTCAAAGTAATACGAAAACGAGATAGATGAAAATGATATATAGGTGTCTGCAGGATTTCTAGGAAAATTAATTCACAAATTTTACAATTTCTTGTTTCATATTCTCTACTATTAGCATCACTTAATATCCTACAATATGCAGTAGTTTTATACCCTTCTTTTAATTACCTATGATTAAATTCCTTTAGTCAAAATATAATATTCAATCCAGAAAATAAAGTCCGTTTTAGCAAGAGGTGAATATACAAGAATGATTTAATTTGTTTTTTGCTATAATTATATCGCATTAATTATCGAAGAACTACGCTTTTCTTTCTGTTTTTTTTCTTATTTTTGAAAAATTGAATATCCTTTTATTTATTATGAAGAAATAAGGAGAATGAATAATTAGTTAACTGATAAGAAAGAAATGATCACATAGTATGCTCAACATAAGAAAAGCGCTTAATCCATTTTAATGAATTTTTTGTTATGTTGGAAATTTGAAAAGTGCAAAATTTATCCAAATTCTTGTAATCGAAAACTTAAAAAAGTTATGAATATTTGCTAAAATATGTGGTAGATGATAATCTTTAGACTATAATGCAAATGCTAATTTTGCTGTGACATAAGCGCACTGCTTTATTGCTTTATTCATGCATTAAAAAAATTGTGATTCTTAAAATGATCGCTTAAGTAGCGAATTATTTTACCAATCCAAAATATTTTTTCTATTACCTTGTTAGTTTTTTAACAGTTTGACAAATTTATTTATAAAATTATGATTTATATGGTTTTTACTTTCAATACTTAAAAAATCAATATTTCTATCATTGTTAAATAATTAAATGAAATTTTATTTGCTGTGAAAAAAGAAGCAAATTGAGTGTATATTTTACACTTAATGAAGCGTGTTTTATCCAAAAATTATGAAGTGGCTGGCTTCAGGAGAACTAGCCTGTTGCATCATATTTTTGCAATATTAAAAATAATAAAAGATAAAAAACGTAAGCATTAAGTTGTTGTATATTTGTCTTTTTCATTAATTTTGAGAAAGTATTTGAAATAAATTTGAAATAATATACTTAATCACATTTAATAATATTAAGCAAATGATTAATGAAAATGAGGGAAACTTAAAGTTAAATTTTAGTAAACTTGTTATGCAAGTAAATAATATGAAGAGTTTTAATTGCAGACGAGAGAAGCTAATTGATCATTAATTTAATAAGAAATCAAATTAAGAAAGAAATGGAGAGGACAATAATTGTTTATCATTAATGGAATTTATCATTTTCATTGAGCGTTAATTAAAGATAAGCGTTAATTAAACTTATTGAAATCTATCAATCGAATAAAATAATAAGTAATAAAAAACAAATGTTTGAAAAAACTAATATGAAGAATAAAAAGAAAAATTTTAAAGAGACAGAAAATTTTTGCATGAAAAAGGGATTTCTTTTTTAGATTCAAAATTGGTAAAGAAGAAAACGCGTTTTGATTAGTTAAAATCACAAACGAAATTAACAATTGGAGAAAATGTCTCAGTTCAGAAAGTTAAAAGAATTATTTATATTTTTTTGAAAACTATTTTACTTATTTTCTGTATTTTTAACTTTTCCAAATTCTTTATGTCTTTTAATTTTTGAATATTTTTCAATTCCAAATTTTTACAAATTTTCCTCACGTATGCAAAAAATTCAATCTTCTTTCTCATTTTTAACATTCATGTTTCTTAACAAATTTTCATCGCTGTTTTTATTTTGAAATTGTTGAAAAGAATAAATTTATTTGATTAAGAAAACATGTCATTTTATCGAATTGTTCGAACTAACAGTTAGAATGCTCCAATTTCTTTCATTTCTTAATTTGAGTTATTTTTTTTAATTCCTGATTATTTAAACAACTTCTCGAGCAATAAACGAAAATAAAATGTGGGAAAATTTTTTTTGTTAAATTAACATCATACTGATCTATCAGCACTTGCAAAGACTGAAAAAAGGCAATAGTACTGCTAATTTTTTCAGATGACATCTTATAATTATGATATTATAAATACTTAAAAAAGGAGCTATTATTTTAAAAAAACAAAAAGAAATAGGGGTCAATTTTTATTTTTTTGCAAGAAGATTTAAAAAGTTTTGCAAAAAAAGGCTTTTGCATCCATTTTGAATATATAACATATCCTCTATTATTTTGCATATTTCGACAGAAGAATAATATAATATA